ATTGAAAATTTTGATAATGAGAATTAGAGGTGAGAAAAGTCTAATAAAAATTAATCAAAGTCATCATTAATTGGATTCAATCAATACCTTTAGGAGGGATGGGGGAGTGAAAAAGAGAGGAAGACTTTTTCTTATCCCGCGAGAATGCAAAAGAAATAGGCACAAGGGAAGAAGTAGCAGTATAGGCATCATAACTAATTCTGTCTCAAGTTGGGATAATTGCTTATGGGTCGTTTGGAAGTAATGGTTCTAAATGAATGAATCTTTGACTTCATATATTTTGGAGAATTCATCGTTTTTTTTTTGTTCCAAAATTTTATTCAATACATGCATTTGATGTGGGTCCTCAAATCTCATAACACCCACAACCACTCATTTTAAATCTCAACAAAAAGGCGAGATTCTTTCTTTGAGATTGTGGGCTTTAATTTGTTCAACTTTTAGCTCATAAAATGATTTTTTATTTTTATTATTATTTTTGAATGGCTACAAAGTACAAACAAACAAGACATTCTTCCAATCATCTAATTCTTACAATCCTTGTATTTACAATACATGTATTCGTCAAATGCACATATTTGAAGAATCTCAACTTCCAAACTACCTCTTAGTCTCCATCATTGAGGATTAACGAAATCATCCTTCAAAGAAGGTAGCTGCTCGTGGGACGGGAGTGCTCACAGTAAAGGTAGATTACCTAGTTTCTCATTTGGCGCAAAGATGATAGGCAAATGGTCTTGCGTACGTCTAGAGCTATGAGCCTATGGCATGGATAAGGAGAAAGGAGGAGATGTTGATATCTCAATTTTTGTCATTGGTAATCTTTAATTTGATGGACTGGAGGTAGAGAGACAACTAATGAGAGTATATGCTTTTTGGTGTGATGAAAAGAACAAAAGATTGAGTGAGAGACAAGAGTGGTTTGAATTGGAAAGCCAAAATTGGGTTGGATGAGGGGCTTGTAAGTTGTCAAAGTGAGGAAGAACTAAAGTATGTGTGCTATATTTGTTTTTTTGTTGTTTCTCGGTATTTCGGTATAAACCAATTCCAATCATGTAATCCCCAATATTAAATAACACTCCAAAATGAATCTTAATCCCTAAAAATAAATCAATATTCTAAATACCAAACAGTGATAAATTCGATACGATATTAGGTATATCTTAAATACTGATACCAAACTTTCGGCCCTAGTACAATGTATTAAAAAGGAAATATTTTCAATTTTATGTTTCTCTAGCATTAATGCAAAATGTCACTACAATTCTTACTAATTTTATTACTTCTAGTGTCATTTATGTATTTTTCATATGTTATATTACTAAAAGTATAAATTTAATTTTCGTAATAGATTGTCATTCAACCCGACCTAAACAGTGACCTAAAAATCCGTAGGGTCTTGAAGGCAAGGAAGTACTGTTGAAGGCAGTGATCCAAGCCTTGCCGACCTACATCATGAGTGTTTTCTTGCTACCTCTTAGCTTAACCAACAAAATGGACTCCATTCTGAAGCGCTTTTTTTGGTCGGGATCCATGAGGAAGAGGGGTATCCACTGGTGTAACGCAAGGGATTTGGAAAAGCCTAAAGATGAAGGAGGGTTGGGTTTCAAGAACTTCCACCTTTTCAACCTTGCGCTTATTGGGAAACAGGTGTGGAGACTGTTTGATAATCCGGATGCCTTGTGGGCCAAGCTTTTAAGGGCCTCTACTTTCCCAATGGGGATTTTTTTCGGCAGTTAAAGGGAGGAAAAGCTCATGGATCTGGAATGGTTTTTGCGAGGTCAAGGAACATATGAAGGCTGGTTTGTTGAGGGGGATCATGTCTGGGGAGGATTCTCAGTTCCACTGTGACCCTTGGCTACCGTCCATTCAAAATTTCAGTTGATCTCATTTGGGGTTGGAGCCGTCCCGTGTTAGTGATTGGATTGATCCAACTAATCGCAGCTGGAATATGGATGCAATCAGGGATCTGGTGCCCGAAGAGATTGTCCAAGCTATTGCTAGAGTTCCGATTGGCCCCTGTTCTTCGCAGGATCGGTGTATTTGGAGGTTTACGGAATCAGGAGGCTACAATGTTAAGTCTGCTTACCGTCTGTTTAGGGAGGCGAGAGATTCCCCTCAAGCTATTGCTGCAGATACCTTTTCTCGACCAAACAAGGATGATTGGAAGTGGCTTTGGGATCTTTCCTTGCCCCCTAAGCTTCGATTTTTCATTTGGAAGAGTGGTAAGAATGCAATGGCAACACGAGCGAGGTTGTTTGAACGCAAGTGTGCTTCTGATCCAGTGTGCCCATTTTGTGAGGAGCATGTTGAAACGATTATGCATTGTTTTTTCCATTGCTACAAGGCATGTGATACGTGGTCTAGGGTTGGCTTGTTGGAGGTCCCCCCTTCTGCGGATACCAGCTTTGCGGACTGGTTTTTTTCTCTTAGAGACAGCTTGACACCTGACCAAACCAACAAGATTGTGTGTACAATGTGGAATATCTGGATTGCTCGTAATGGAATGGTTTCGATGGGAAGATGTTCTCCCCACCCACTGTGGAAATTCTAGCTGATAGAGAGTACAGAAACATTAAGGAAGCTACGGCCTCGTCCTCAGCTTCCCCTTCTACTTCAAGATCAGCTGGTTTGCCGTCTCAGCCTCGGAGATCTCGGTCGACGACCTTATCACCGCCTGGTCCTTACAGTAAGGTTGTGCATTGTGATGGTTCCTTTGTCTCTGATGCACAGGTGGCGGCGTATGGGATTGCTATTGCTAACTCCCACGGTCAGGTTATCGACGGAAGGGCTGAGAGATTCTTTTGTTCTTCTCCGATACAAGCAGAAGCTTATGCGATTCTTAATGCAGTTATCCTGGCTGCTCAGGATCTAGTCCCAACGTGCGCCAGATCCGATTGTCAGAGGTTGACGATTGCGTTGAGACAGGATCCGAGCATGTGGCCATGGCAATGCCGGGCAACTCTTGCCCGGGTTGTTTCCATTCTTTGCCTCTCTCCTTGGATCTCGGTTGAGTTTGTTCCCCGTCGTTTCAATGCCTTGGCTGATTGGATTGCGAGGAACTCTCGTCTCGATCTCCTTCCCTCGGAATGGATTGTCATTGTCGATCTTGTCGCTCCATTATTGTAATTGTATTGCTTCTCACTTGTGTGGGTTTGGAATGAAATGATGATTGCTATTGTCAAAAAAAAAAGTCTTGAAATTAATAAGTTTGAATTTACCACCTTTCAAACCAATACCCATTGATTTGGTGGTTAAAAATGGTCAAAACCGCCGTATATACACCTCTAGGTAAGTCAAACAATGATAACGAAGTCATAAATATGCTCCATGTCGATGATTATGAATAATGATGGCAAGGGTTAATTGCAAGTTTGGTCACTGAGTTTACTAAAAAAATGTCATGTTTAGTCACTCAAAATATTTAATTCCAATGTTGGTCACTCGAATTAGTAAAACGGTCCATATTTAGTGACTCTCCGTTAGTGTTCGTTAACACCATCAATCAATTGCTGACGTGGCTAACAGAAGTGTTGACTCAACCAATTTTAACCCGCCACATCACTCAACCCGCCACCTCAATTTTCCCAACTCAACCCATAAACCAACCCTTCCAAACCCGTGACCAGATTGGACCAACTCTAGTTTCCTCCGCCTGGTGCCTGGACGATTCAGATCCAAACTCGTGATTTGATAGCACAGCTACCTCATATCACTATCTCACCCTGTCCACCTCCTTATGCTCCTTCGTTGAAATGAGAAAGGTAATATTGAATAAGGTTTCCTATACTCAAATCACCAATAGCTTTCGATTAAGCTTTCTTAGACTCTCGACATTTCTGGTAACTAGAATTTCTTCCAAGCACCAGGCGGAGGAAATTAAAGGATTTCCATTGCGGATCTCCATCGTCTTGGCGTCAATCACGCTAAGGCTCTCGTGGTGAAGGGGCTCGATGTTGATCTGCTTGAGCCAGCGGTTGATCTCTGACCCGCCGCCGTGGACGAGGATTGGGCGGAGGCCGACGCAGGAGACGACGACGAGGTCGCCAACGACGGAGGCCTTCAACTTCAGGTATATCATGGCGGCGCCGCCGCACTTCACGATGGTTGTTTTGCCCCTAAATCACTAGATGTATGGGAGAGATTCAGACAGGATCTCGACCCTGAAATGCTCTGGGAACTTGGGATGCGATGCGTCGTCGGAGGGGGAGGGAACTGCAGCCGTGGAAGCTCTGATGGCAAGAGAAGACATGCGCTTGGCCGAAGAATGTGGTATGCAGTGCAGATTTGGGGATCTGAAGGTTGAAGGAATTAGGGATTTGGAGCCGGAAGAAGGAAGAGGCTTGAAGAAGGTTTTGGTAGTCGCCATCATTGGGGGTTTGGTTTGAGAGTTGCTGCAAGGAGACGAAAGTAAGAGGGTTGCAAGTGAACTAAGAAATTCTAATGTTTACGGGGTTGGATCTGAATCGTCCGGTCGGATCTAGTCACAGGTTTGGATGGGTTGGTTTACAAGTTGGGTTGGGAAATTGATGTGGTGGGTTGAGGGACGTGATGAGTCGGGTTTGATGATGTGGCAGGTTAAAATTGGTTGAGTATGCACTTTTGTTAGCCACGTCAGCAATTGACTGACGGTGTTAACAGAGACTAACTGAGAGTGACTAAATATGGATCGTTTTACTAATTCGAGTGATCAACATTGGAATTAAATATTTTGAGTGACTAAACATGATACTTTTTAGTAAACTAAGTGACCAAACTTGCAATTAACCCATGATGGCAATGAGTCGGGACGAGACGGGGCCGATTGAAGCATTTTTATATGTTATTTGCAAAAAGAATATAAATATTTAACTTTTTATAAGAAGATATAGAGAAAACAATTCATAAATGAATGAGAAATAAAGTAGAAAAGATATTGATTCTAAATTGTTGAAAGATATAGTTTTAAAATTTATGTAAGATGAAAATATAGTTTTAGAAAGATAAAAAGCGGAAAAGGGTGATGCAAATAATGATAAAACAAGTCGAGAACAGAACGAAATGGAAAAGGACAAATCAAAAGTAATATCCACCTCAAACAAATCATACTACATATTTCATAACATACCACACCTTCCTCCCAGTTGGGCCTTGTTCACTCAATCCGCTCTATTCTCTACTTACTGCTGCCAGTGTTCTGAGCATCCGACGAAGCCCCAATACAGATCCAGAATCGAGAAAAGAAACACAGTGGCAAAAGCATAACCCCATTGGAAAAGAAAAAGTCGGAAAACATTAACACAAACCACTAGAAAACGAAATGAGACATCAGACTTATTCATGGATCCACGACTTAAGAGTCGCAAAATCTAGTTCCTAGATCCTACCAGCGAACTGCACAACTTTATTTACACAACCCGCACAGCTTTAGCTTACGTAGTTTCTCTGTGCAGGCAAACTACTAGAATCCTAAGCACCTCTCGGTTGTGGCATCACTGTCAAACCTTAATAAGGTCTCATAGTTCGGGCTCGGAGCCGGGGGCATCAGACTGACCACCAGATTCGAAAATCTCAGAAGGCGGCTTCACTTGCTGGAGGTGGGTGGAATGATCAAAGCAGTGATAGAAACCAAAGTGAGGGAAGCGCTCGTACCATGTATCCTGAGGGATGTGCGTGTCCCAGTGCTCTCCACAGCTGCTCTGCCCATACTTGTGGATCCACCCTGTCCCATTGTGCTGCTCGCCCCAAGTCCGGTTCCAACGATCACCGTACTTCCCTGCCCACCACGTCTCCCCTTGCTTCACTCCATGGCCGTTGGTGGAGAAATCCTCGTCCCATTTGTCGCCCCATTTCGCCCACCCGTCTCCCTCCCACCTCTCTGCCCATTTGTCGGTGTACTTTGCGCTCCCTCCATGCCCGTCGTACTTCTCGCCCCACCTGCACACACACAGACAAACAATGAGGTAAGGGAACACACATAAGAGAGAACTATTGCTGCTGCATTAGGAGCTGTGGGGATGGGTTACTTTTCATGCCAAACATGAGCATGGCCAGCATCCAGCGGTGTTGTTGGGTCAATGCTGCACCACTTGTGTGCCCATTTCTCTGCCTTGTTGGATGCATCGTAGTGTTCCCACCACTGCTCTTGCCACTCGTCTCCTTGGCCGTTCTTCCCCCACTTATCTGCTGTTTTCTCAAGATGGACCAGACCAGCATCCTGCGAAAAATTTACCATATCATAAGTTCTGAGGTGCTCGGCGTTTGAGTATGACTAATAGTTGAATCCATCCCTAAGGAGATCAATCCCCTACAACTACAGCACACACATTATATGTAAACATGATTTGAGTTACCTGCCACATTGATTCCCTCCAGTGCTCACGCCAAACGCTTCCATTGGCATCACGTCCAGATTTCTCTGACCCAAGTTCCTTGTAACCAAAGTCATCAGAGGCTTCCCAGAACTTCTCTTGCCACTCCGTCTCTTGATCAGCACTAACACCTCTAGACATGGTCCACCTGCAAATCACACCATCAGGCCTCCTCTCAGCTCCTACCTGCTTCCACCATCTCGACCCATCTGGATTCACCCCAGTGGTCAAAGAAGTCTCCTGCAGATCCGATTGAAGGGCACGAGCTGCCTCTGCTGCGTGCGCTGAGAATTGTTCGCCAAGCTCGTGAACTTCCTCTTTGATGGCCGGTATCTCCAGAGTAGGTTCAGAAGCAGCGAGGTTTTCAACCTCCATGGAAGACTGCAAGGGTGGGATTATCTGTGGGAGCTTGCTCTCAAAAGGGATGGTCAGGAAATCCATGCCTCGCTCCTTTTCTTTGACTGGGTTGTATGAAACGGGAGAAGCAGATGGTTGCCTCATAGGCTGCAAGCCACCATCACCATTGGAGTCTGAGTCACTGCTTTTTGGGGGTGTCCATGACCAGAAATCTGGCCCTGGAACTCCATTGCTAGAGTCAGCAGACTTGGGAATAAACACAATTCCACCATCCTGCTCGCCTGCTCCTTCAACTGCACCAGCAAATCATTACCCACAACAATTAGCAGTAAGCAAAACAATGCGTAACTCACCACAATTCACATAACTATTCCCTTCCAAGCTAAAACTCACACAATTCACATAACTTGCCCCAATCAAGTTGCCTCACCTTCAATTTTTCACTTCCAATTTCACAAATTCCGAATATACATTCAGTCAAAAAGAGAGAGTGAGGCCTAGGGTTAAACCACTCCTACATTATACGGCCTATTTCACATTTTATCTTCAAAGATGAAAGAGTGATTAAAATTCATTTACCTTCTTTTGTGTCTTCTCCACGGCTTGGGTCCGAGTCACCGGTAGCCTTGATTGAACGGGGAAAGGTGGCGGCCCTCTCCTGCATTCCCTTGACAACCGATTCAGCAGCCGCAATTGCAGCGGCGGCGCGATCAATCACCTGCTGGTGCCGAATCCGGTCCCTCTCCTCGTCGGAGACATCCAGAATCTTGCTGAACTCCTCGTTTTTCTTCTCCAAATCCACCTGCTCGCCGCCTCCGACGGCGCTCCCGTCATCGCCTGGAGGCAACGTATCAGCGATCTTCTGGAACTCCGCCGCCTTGCGCTCCCGTTCAATAGCGTTCTTCCACATGTCCAAGTAAGAGGTCTCATTGCTGGAAACCCTAACGCGCAATCCCGTCAACGCTCTGCCGCTCCGGCTCGTCCTCGTCCCGGAGCGCAGCAACAGCTGCTCCAACGGCGAGGAGAAGGCGCCGGCTGCCGGTGGTCTCGTGAGGAGCGGAGAGCGAGCCGCGGCGGCGGCGCGTGAGTGGGAGACGAGACTGGAAGCCATTGACAGCGGGAATGGGGGAAGTGAGTGCTTCTGTAGTAGCGATTCCGAGATTTTTTGCGATCGAGCAGAGCTCGATTGAGTGAGTTGGATGACTCGACTCAGTTCATGTGTCTAGGGAAATGGAGAGGGAGGCAATTATAGAGATTGTAGTCTGCTTTTCACTCAGTAGTACTGTGTACTTCGGAATTTGGAAGCTTTCTTGTGATGGGAGCAAAGTGGCGAGATGCCGTTGCTAAATTTCTGCAAATTTTTGCGGCCACTGCCGTTAATTTTGTTTTGGGTTATTTTTAATCATTGTGGTGGAGACACGTGTACGGTGGCTTTACACCCGTCCATTTCCGATCATGTGAAACCGGTCCCCATGTCGATCATGTGAAAGCGGTTCCCGCGTCGACTGGTTTTACTATTTACTTTTTATAGCTCTCAGGTGATTTTATTTTTGTGATAAATAATTAGCTGAAGGGCTCTGTTTTGGTTATATGGTTCGGGTTGGGTTCAATCGGGTTATGGGTTGGTTGAGTGGCGAGTTCAATCGGGTTGCGGACAAATTGGATTTCGGGTTCATCGGGTTTTGGGTCGGGCATGTTGCGGGTGGGTCGGGTTGCGGGTTGTTCGGTTTAGCGCATAGAGTTAGTTTGTGGTGTTACGGGTTGGTCGGGTTACGAGTTGGTCGAGTTATGAATCGGTCTGGTTGCGGGTCAATCGAATTGCGGTTTAATCAGGTTGCAGGAATGTCGGATGACGAGTCATTGACTTTTAGTCAAATCGGTTTGTGGGCGGGTTGCATTTCGAATTGATCGGGCGGGTTACTCGGGTTGGGTTATATTTTGACACCTTCAGTTATGCTGGATTTGCCTCCCCAAAGCCTTTGCTACTGGAGTGCCTACTGGGCTTTTGGCACATCATGTCCACACCAATTATAATCCGGCCAATACCAGTGCTGATAATAATTTTTTTTTACAAATGATGATATCATATATTGATTAGAAAAATAGATCATTACACCTTAGAGTTAAGCCAAACCATAAAATTAAAGAAACGATATGTAGTTGGATAAAAAAAAGAGTCTTTCTAGCCATTAAATGGGCTATCATATTACTCTGTCGATATTAAAATTGCGTTACCCATACAGCCAATTCCTATTGGCCCATATCCACATGGCATTGGTCAACATTCCGATTCCTAGAACTAGAAGTCAGAACCCAAAACTTTAGTTCAATTCCTTTGCAACCAACTGTTAGCCAAAGAAAAAGACTCCACTTATTGAAATGCATTAAAAAAAAGTGGTAAGAAGCTAAATATAGCTTGTTGAAGTGAAAATGGAATTTGGGAACTAATAATTCATATTTTAGAGATTAGGAAGCTAAATTTAGATGGTTAGAGTTAGCATAATGAGCTAATTTAACTAAAACTCAAATCCCTCTTTCACTAAAACACCCTCATTTCACCGGACACAGCCAAAATATGTTAATGTCTGCTTTATTAGATTCACAAACATATAGATTTTGTTACACAGACATAATCCAAATTTGTTAGTTACAACATCCAGTAACTTCTATGCGAAAGCGCTACTTACAAAGCAATGCTGGAGATTGGTGATGTCGTCCGATTGGTTACAACTCCTGCCAATTTATAAGAATCAAACTCGCTTGTCCCTATAACTTCCACTGCCTAGATTTTTCAATATGGAATTTGGGTCGTCTTCAGCATAAAAAACTAAATGGACCGACTTCATCCTTGTAGACGCGGCAGTCACTGGTACAACATTCGTCCCCCAACAAAAGGAAAAGCTGCTACAAGCCAACCCACGGAACGACGACGACTGAATGGCGGTTTAGTTTGCAGGGTATCAGAATTAAGGGGATTAGGGTTTTCGTCGTCGAAGTGGGAGAATCAGAGTGAGAGCGCCGTTTTTTTTTTTACAAAAGATAATCTTATATTGATTGGAATAAATAGATAGTTACATCCTGGAATTCAGCTAGGTCTGAAAATCAAAATAACGACACATAGACGGAAACAAAGACAGGGCCTTTCTAGCTACCATATGAGCTACCCTATTGCTATCCCGACCTACAAATCGCACATTGAAGCCCAAATTAACCGCACGCATCTGCACAATCTCCTCCAAAATAGCCCCCACTCAACTATCCCTCACATCCACTTGGCGGATTTTATCAATGACCACCTTGGCATCCCCTTCAAACTGCATCCCCGAAAAACCATGATCCGAACACCAACGGATAGCCTCCCGGAGGGTAAGTAACTCCACCACCATGGGATCATCAATAAAAGGGAACTGCATCCCGGCAGCCCAGAGGACGCCCCCTGCCTCATTTAGGATAACCATCCCACCAGCAGCGTGCGACCCCCTACGAACTGCCCCATCCCACCGACACACAGGCCCCCTCGGCCCACCCAACGCCACCGAGGGGTTCTGCTGGACAACCACTGGATCGGATTGAGGATCAGGCGGTAAACGTAGCCACTCATCAACCTGCTGGTTATACTGCCTCATTAAGGCAGGAATCCAAACTATTTGCCTTCAAAGACAACCCAATTCTGAGATTTCCAGATCCTCCAAAGGACAGCAGTTACCAACATGAACTGCGAGGGTTGGTGCAAGATAGAGAGCAACTTTTTCAGGAAGAAGGGGAACGTATGATGAGGCAAACCTTCGCCAAGATACACTAAACCAGACTGAGCCCAAAGCGCCCTGGCCACAGGATAGCCAAGGAACAGATGCTCTATTGTCTCCGCAGTAGCCCAGCAAACAGGGCATCGAGGACGAACCTCAATTTTTGGCATTCCAAAGCCGGATCCAATTCTCCCTATCCATCCAGCTAACCTGAGCCCGCCAACGAACATTCTGCTGATCCAAACAAACCACAAGGTGGTACGCCGATTTCACCGAGAAGACACCATCCGCAGTGCCATGCCAGATCAGCCGATCCTCAATATTTTGCCTTGGAAGGGGGATTGCCTTAATCGCCTTGCAAGTTTGGGGATCAAACCATTGGCTAAACTTATCATCACACCAGTGCCCTTCCCCTGAGCAGAGAACCGCAGCGACCTTCACATCTCCATCCGCAGGCAGAACTCGAGGGTTACATACTAGGGGAAAATTATGCTGCTGCGGGACCCAGTTCGACTTGAGCAACAGAGACGTCCGACCATTACCAATCTGCCAACGTAAACCCTTAGATAGCAACTGGCGGCCAAACAGAATGCTCTACCATCCCCAAGACGGACAGGACCGGGTCGTAGCTGAGAGGAAAGAGCCAGTGGGAAAGTACTCCCTTTATAAACCTGGGCTAACAAAGACTGTGGTTCATTCAATATTCACCATCCTATCTTGGCCAACAAAGCCTGATTAAACCATTCGAACCGACGAAAACTCATCCCCCCTTCATGTTTACTGCGGCACAAATTTTGCCAAGACACCCAACGAATTCTGGAATGGCCGTCCTCCACACTCCACCAAAATCTAGCTACATGTTTATCCAGCAGGCGACAAAGAGACAGAGAAAGCCTAAAACAGGACATAACATGTAATGGGAGGGCTAGATCAACCGACTGAATCAATGTCTCTTTAGCCGCCCAAGACAAAGTCCTTCGTTTCCATCCTTGTAAACGCTCTAACTATTTTTCCTCCAAATAGCGGAAAGTTTCCATTTTGGACCGCGCTATCAAGATAGGGAGGCCAAGATATTTATCATGGACTCCCACAGCCCCCACCCCAAGAATCGCCCCTAAGAACTCCTGATCTGGCAAGGAGATATTCTTACTAAAGCAAACCGCCGATTTACTCAAGTTCACCTTTTGGCCACTCAACTCCTCATACTCATTCAGAACTTCAATCAGATTCTCACACTCCTGGAGAGATCCGCGGAGAAACAAGTAAGAATCATCGGCAAAGAATAAATGAGATATCCGGGGAGCTCGAGGAGCTACTTTGATCCCCTCTAACCTCTTCTCAAAAATGGCCTTCCGAAGTAGGGCTGCGAACCCCTTCGTACAAAGCACAAAGAGAAGAGGAGAGAGAGGGTCCCCTTGCCGGAGACCCCTAGAAGACCTAAAGAAAACAGAAGGGGACCCATTCACGAAAACCAAAAACGAAGCTGATTGCAAACACTCCTGCACCCATCCTCTCCAGACAAAGTTAAAACCCATCTTTGCCAAGACCGCAAGAAGAAATGACCATTCAACTCTATCATAGGCATTTTCCATGTCAACCTTCAAAGCCATGTATCCCTTCTTGCCACGGAATTTGATTTTCAGATAGTGCATCAACTCATGCCCAAGGAGGATATTTTCCACGATCTGCCTATCTCGGATAAAAGCATTCTGCCCTTCAGAAACAATTAGGGGCAGCACTCCCGCCACCCTCTCTGCCATAATTTTGGTAATCACTTTGTACACAAACTGGCACAGACTAATGGGGCATAGTTGTCGCACGGATTCCACCTGATCCATATTTGGGATCAACGTTAACCAGGTGTGATTGAAGCTGCGGAGCATCCGACTAGTTTCAAAGAACGAACTGACCGCTGCAATCACTGAATCCCCGAAAATCCCCCAAAATGCTTTAAAGAACTTCCCCGTAAAACCATCTGAACCTGGCGCCTACATTGAACCCATACCAAAAACCGTTCTTCGAATCTCATCAGGAAGGACCTCCGCCATTAAGCTTGCATTCATATCCAGGGTAACACTAGAAGCAATGGGGAGGTCCGCCACCCTTTCAACCATATTATGCACCTGAATTTTCGAGGTGAAGAGGGTTTGGTAAAACTCGGTGGCTATTTTAGCCTTCCCTCGCTCCTCAGTTATCCAATCACCATCGTCATTATACAGGTCAGCAACAAAGCTTCTTTTACGGTGGGTTCTCGTGACCGTATGGAAGTAAGAAGAATTCTTATCGCCCCTTTTCAACCATCGGACCCGAGATTTCTGCTGCCAATACTCTTCCTCTGCCTCCCAGTGGCTATTTAATTCAGTTTCCAACCCTGCCACTTCCTGCCAATTGATCAGATGAACGGCTTTTATACGCTCAATCTCACTTTTCAAAGTATGGATATTACGTAGGGAATTAATGGTCCCCTCTCGGCTCCATTCATACAGCAAATAACGAAACTTCTTCAATCTCTCCCACAATTGAAACATCGGTGTACCATGAATTTGCTCCTGCCAAACGTAGGATACCATCGCCTTGACCTCCGGATTATCTGCCCAACGAGCATCAAAACGAAA